CGACATGATCAACGAACGATAATCACATGTTCTATTTTAAGATATACCTTGTTGCACAAATAAAGAGTTTTTCCCATTAAAAAAATATAAGTTTGACCTCCTCGTTGTCCTCTTTAATATAGATGGAATTTATTAAATAATCTTGTCATGGAGATGGTGTCTGAATCTTATCAACCTATGCCAGCGAGGCCATCAGCATTCGGTAATGATCCGAGGACCGCTGCCGCAATTCCCTTCTGCACCCCGATGGATATCCTCTGTAGGAGAAACTCTTCAGCTCTCTTATCCCCTGAAGAAAATTCGATCCGCTTTCCCAAGTCTCGGAGGAAGGCCTCTGAAGACTCTCCTATGACTCCTAGCCTTTCGATGGCGACCGGCTGAACAAAGAAACGATTTCCGAGCTCCTCATATTTCGAAAACTTTGTTTTCTCTGCCAGTTTGGCCACCTCACCCGCAGCACGGACCGCGAGCGACCGGTGTGTTGGGGCTTGGGGCCAACGTGTCCCATACTGACGCATCCCAGACCAGTGGTCTACCTGCGAACCACGATGTCAAAGTAAGCCCGTCAGGAAGGAGGGCGGAGTTACGCGAGAGGCCCGTTGGCTCCAATTCGTTTGGAATTTCCGCGAACCGCAAGGCGTTAGAGCTGACGGCGTTCAAGGCTCTGTGACGCGAGTGACGGCCGCTACTGCGCGGACAGCTCAGACCGTGTTCACCTAGAGCGGAGACTGGACCCGTACATCTCGCACAGGCATAAAGAGAGAACAGAGGGAGTCCCAATCGGAGACCGGCAGCGATGCGGAGTGAGTTGTTGTCGAATTAGCTGAGAACGTCTTGGTGATACGATGATACGGTCGAGGGAGCGTTGCGAGATTTCGTCCGGAAGGGTATTCCATCTCGACTGGAACCTCTGGGTAAGGAGGGCGATACGGGAGTCCAGATCAGTGGCGTTGCTCGCTGGAGAGAAACTTGCGGCTAACGACCTGAATTGGCTCAATGAGCCCAGGTGCGCACTAGAAGCCGAATCGAAGATTGATCGAACTCCCAGGCCACCAGAGGCGATGGGAAGAGAAGACTGCAACCAGGGGCTGTCTGACGACACGTCGAGATTGAGAAGCGTGCTTAAGCATAGGCGCAGCTTCAGGTCGAAATCTCGCAGAACCTCTTGGAAGGCGTCAGCGTCGCAACAACGCAACACGAATAATAGTCGGGGGGCTGAGAGACTGCAGCGCATCAGGAATCAGGAATAAGGCTGGATGAGCGTCGAGGATCGGCAACCTTGAGCACCATAGATCTATGAGGAGCGACTTCCGGGAGAGCACGCGATGAATCGTAGCATTATTCAAAGGCGCTCCGAGCAGCTCGAGCTCATCTTCGCCTAGAAGTCGAATGTTCGGCAAGGTGCGTTGGAGCGTCAGAAGGCTTACTGCGCGAGCATCAGCCGCATCAGACAGTACAGCAAGTTCGCATTCGGAGTCGTTGAGCTCTAAGCCGGAGACAGCGGCAAAGTATCGGACTTTTTCGATGTCAGCCATGACAGAGTCGCATGAGCCCCCAGCACGCCATCATCCAAAAAACATGGTCAGAATTCTGACTCCAGAGTAGAAACAAGCTGACGAAGCGCGATGCAAAACAGTGCAGGCCCACAAGGGTCACCCTGTTGAACACCGTTCTTTGACAGAATGATGTGCTCCGGAATAGTTTTGTTGGAAGTCTGTATGCTTGGTGGATCATGGGGTAAAGCTTGGGGAAGCTGGACTGGACTGAAGTGAGGATGAGGTCCCTTCGGAGCGTGTTGAAAGCATTGGCGAAGTCCAGCTCGACCATTACTTTTCCGGAGTCCTTGTTCACTTCAAGGAAGCTAGACGCTAGACGCGGCATGAACGGCGGCCTCACAACCACCCCCGACTCTAATGCCCAACTGGTGAGGAATGACCAAATCTCGGATCGACTCTTTGTTCTTTCGGATGACGACTTTCCCAGCCAGACGGCGGAGGGTAATGCCAATCGCTATTGGACGGATACCACCACCCTCCTTGCGGACAGCTAAGAGGTTGGCCCCGTAGAATGTGTCCAAGGCGAAGTCGGGAAGTCTGCCGTTGGTCACCATTACACTTAATTTCGACAGGAGTCATTGTTTTTCTCAACGAGGTCTTTGAGATGACGAGGTCGGAGCCCGTCAGAGCCTCCGCTGGAGCTGTTCGCAAAACTGAGTAAGGCCAAGCGGATCTCCATAGGGTACACCCAAAGTTCATCGACAGAGGCGACCGGACGTGGCGGCTGAGGGTAGGGGTGGCGAAGATTCTTCCTCATCTTCAGCTGTGCCTTCGTCGGGGGTGCCTTCGTTCGAATTTTCTCGATCATAGTCGAGAAGGGGGAAACTTCTTAATCTTGACATCCTTGGTGATGATTACTAGACGCGTATCGAGAATCCAGATGCGATACGCCAATCCATCTGGTTCGATACCACAGACTCTGCCCGGAAAGCTTCTGTCATCTAATTTCTTTCTAGCAGGAGCTCTATTTTAGTAATAGCACTGAGTGCCGGATCGCAATATCTTTTTGAGGTGAGGGAGTTTACCATGAATCAGTTCAAAAGGAGTTTTGTTGGTTTCTTTCTGGGTTTCAACCTAATTCAGAATATGGGCAGGGAAATTCACGCCTTCTGCCCTCAGACCTTTCGGTAATTTACTCTCAATCAGCATGGCTCTAGTCAGATTCATAAGAGAACGATTCGATCTTCCGCTTACCCCGTTGAGCTGGGGACTATAGGGCCGAGAGTAGCTGATCTCCGCTCCGATACTTTTCAAATGATTAATGACTCTACGATTTTTGAACTCAGTGCCGTCATCTGAATGAAAGTGATATACCTGACGGCCTGTCTTGGTGTGAAACCACGTAGTGAACGACTCGATGCAATCGGCTTCTTGATCTTTCGTTTGGAGGAAGTAAATATTTCTGTATCTACTGAAATCATCGGATAGAGTCAGAAAATACGGGGCACCACCGAACGAAGCCTTTGGCACAGCGTGTCAGCACGGATGAACCCGGGCCTGGATGCTCCTGCATCATCTGGCTTCGCTCTGTTGCTCGCTCTCGGTATCTTCCCGCGGGAGCATGAATCACCCTACACGAAATCCTCCAGAATTTCGTGACCTCCGCGCTGCAGCATTCTCTTTACCAAACTAACGTTAACGTGAGCGAAGGCTTCGTGAGCTTCCAGTAGGCTCACTTCCTTCTTTGTTACAGCCAGATTTGCTTCCAGTGGTTCCGTGGCGTAGAAGACGTACAAACCGTTTTGTCGATCAGCGAAAATTTCTGTTTCGCCTTTGATGAGCTTGTTGTCAGCCTTGGTCACTCTGATCTTGAAACCATCATCTGTGATCTTAGACACGGGGATGAGATTACGGCGGAGATTCGGGACGAACAGGACATCGTTGAGTCGGATGATGTCTGTGCGATCATTGGTTGAAACCGTAATCTGCGCAAAACCCAAGCCTTGTGCACTGATAACTCGAGAGCCTCCGAGCTTGACTTGAGCTGGAGTTTGGAATAATCCACGAGCCATCGTCGGCTGTAGGTCATGTGGTGGGTAGTTTCGGAGTCTACGACAAAATACTCACCTGTAGAATCGTCGACGGAAGGAAGAAGTTCGATGTTCAGAGCCTCCACGATGTTCGCTTGAGGCGGGAATCGTCGTTGATGGCTCTGGCGGCCACGACGTGGTGAATTCACTAATTCTAGCCGCAGGGATTTCTGAGCGCATACAAGACTGAAGACTCGATATATTTCATCAGACTTTGCCGAAGATCTTTCTTCCGCATTTTCTCAAACGAGCTTGCAGCTCCTGAGTGATTTCGCAATGCATCGCTCCATACGTTTCATGCTTTTCTTCCTCTTCTTCGACGATGCTATCGGGGACCACCGGTGAAAAGACTATGTGCCAATATGACTCCCCCATCTTATCCCATAAGGCTTGAATTCCGTTTTCGGAGCTCACGATGTCGTCTACCAGATCGGCTGAATCTTCGGCCCTGAGGAGCTCGCAAGTCTCGTGTGCTTTGGTGAATGCCCTTCTCGGGGTCTCCAGGACAGGCCTTGTCGCTCGCAGCTCATCCTTGAGTACATTTGGGTCCTGTCCACCTCTGGCTCCCGCCAACTCTGGTTGCACTGCCAGGGTGCCGTCCTTGTTCGCCATTCCACACCGATTTCATGAATGAAGCTCATTTCCAAGGGTCTTTTCCGTCGTTCCTCTAAGGGCTCTGGCCATTGGTAACAATCCTCAGTTCCGAGTGCCGAGTGGGGTTGCTGTTTGCATTCTTAGCTGTCCCGTCCCCGCTGACGGCGACGAATCATACTACCTGGACAGGAAGGTCTATCTAAGAATGATACGTACAAAAAAATGTATAGAAGGCTCGCAGCGCTGCGGAGCGATCCTATGAGATTCCCTAGTGAATTACGCTTGAAAAGTCAAGGCTCGAGAGGGCTCATGATAATCGATGTAGCCGCGAATGACTGTTGAACTCTGGCTGTAGCCGGAATCCGAGCACCACATTGATGATTCATGTCCAATGAGAAATGATAAAGTTGGGAGCCGATAGGAGTGAGGAGATTCGCTCGATATTTCATCTATTGGTTCAAGGCATGTATGTACAAAATGTTCAGGTTAATGATACGATGGGATATACACCGTTCCTAATCAACTCGGAGCTTTTATACGCAATTGATCTGGTTGTCTGACTCTGGACAGAGCTACATAGAGTTGGCCGAGGGAGAATACATCCTCATTCAAGTATATACCAAGTTAGGTGAATGTCTGTTCCTGACTTCTATTGACAGTGATTGCGAATTCCAATTGAAGCGGGTATTGCCGCCTCCTCAACCGGAATGGTGGACGATTATCGCAGTAATTATCAATTCTAGGGATGAGCACGAGTTGCCCTTCACGAGCTCCCGTTATGAATCGACTGCCCACAACGAATTCACCAACAGTTGATCTACTAGTACCATCTAGTACCATTGCACAATTTGTTCGATATGTCCAAATTGCGGAGAAGCAAAACAATCGCTCCTTTCTTGAGATGAAGCTCATGGGGGGCATCCTTGGTGGGGTTAAACTGTTAAGATATTCGGTAGTAAGAAACATTTGATCCTCCTGCGAATCTTGCATGACGTCGTCGATACTCCGATTTATGTTCTCGTAGAATAGCTAAAATCGCTGTATCGACGAGGTCATCGATTGGGTTCTCTGCGATTCTCGCACCGAATATTTCGTCGGCAATGCGCTCTTTACACATCATGGCGGGCTCGATGAAGATCTTGCCGCGCGAATCATTCGCAACCCCGTTGCCCACGTCAAGCAGAAATTTGTGCCAATCGGTACCGCTTTCTCTCGCTTGAACGTTCTCGGTGAGTTCGTATTTTGAGAAGTGAGACCATGACTTCGATTCAATCACACACGCCTGAATGATATCATCAACAGAACCCCTCCCTACTATCGGCAACGTTTGCCGGAAGTCACCTCCAAGGACGACGGTGCGTCCTCCGGAAAGATCTTCATTCCGTCGTATATCTCTAAAGAGAGCGTCCACGGCCTCGAACGCTCGTTTAGGAACCATTGAAATCTCATCCCAAATGAGGAGAGTCAATTGAGCCAAGCGAACAGCTTCTTTGTGCTGACGCTTCATCGAGGAGCTTCGGTTATCATCGTGCATATTCAGTTTGAAAATTGAGCTCACGGTTCTACCGCCAGGTGAGAGGTTTGCCGCTATGCCGGTCCAAGCAACGCAAAGGACTTGTTTCCGCTGACCGACGAGTAAATTGTACAGCGAATTGTATAGATAGGTCTTGTCACGAATCGGCATTCGGTGACGATTCAGAAGTTTAATATACGAATATATTTCTATGTGTAATCCGTTTACGGAGTGAATCTCCGGCTTAGATAGAGGGGTCTTCCCGGGCCGAATCGGGAGAGGAGGCGCGGGTGAGGAGACACCTGGAAAACAACAGTCCTCTGGCTAGCCGAGTAGACCGCCAGAGGATAGATCATTCGTGAAGGAAGTACCAGAGACGGTGGAGTCGATTCGCGGTCGACCCTCAACCGAAGTCCTTTCCATTCAATAAATCAGCTCGTTCCCACTCGGTGTCCATATTCAGTGAAACATAAGAAAGGTTGTTTTCCATCTGAGTTCCGTTGCGGGTGCGCAACATGTCTTCCCTGATCCTCCGGGTTCATCGATGAAAGAGTGAGGAGTGGAAGAACCGTCAGTCACAGGGATAGCATCAACAGCGACTTTTTGCGCTTCATTCAGAGTTGAACACATGGTTCTCCCCTGGTTTCTTACCCAAGTGATTCTTCATGATCTTGGCGGATTCCGATCGCAAACCTCAAATCCCGCGACGTCCCGCTCCGCTTCGGTGTCCCTGGCGCCGCGGGATCGCAGCGTATGTGTCAGGGGATTCCACATGAGGAGAATTCATTCTTCTGCGAGATCGCAGAACTGAAAAATAGATTCAACTAGGCACCTAGTTCTTTGAAGCTTCCATCCTGAGGGATGAGCCCGACCAGCTCACAGGCGAGCGAAAGAGTGACGGAGCGAATGTTTAGATCAGGTTCAGATCAAAACGCTCACAACAATTGTGAGCGTTTTGGTGAAATTGCGCCCACCTTCACGGAAGGTGAGTAATCCGTCGAAGGCGACCGAGGGAGAAGAGCTCTCGGAATCCTCTTTCTCGAGTCGCCTTTGACCGGAAGATTGTGAGTTTGTCCGCTGGAGAGTAAGCGCCTACGGAAGCAGCTTCCTCCTCGCTAAATCTAATTTCGAACCTTTCAAGGGGAACATGGCCGAAAAGATTAGGAAGACGCGGAATCTCAAAAAGTTTTCGTCGCCGCACTTTTGCCATGCTACACCCACCCGCTCAGCGCCATCGGGGTCCGCGGTTCCTTTGTTGCTTTGGTTGGTGTTCTCGTGATATGCGCTCAAGGGAGACGAGCTCCACTCGCTTTTTTTGACGTGAAAACGTCTTTAAAATGTCTCCAGTAGCCGGTCAAAGAAACTTCGTCCTCCATGCAACGAAATCTACACCGCTTTTGCGGGGCTGGATCTCCGCTGATAGGGATCGGATTATCACGAGGATTGGATCGGAAGATTGCAAAACGGGACATTGTTCCGATGAATTTTCGTCTGGAACCGAGCTGAGAAAGAGGTCCCATTAGACAATTTCTGTCAACCCACGAAAACCTCTATTCAGCCGCATAAATAATTGTTTTCCAGAATAGGGGAAGAATGGTCGGCTCGAGCAATCGAATGGAAGTAAGACTCTGATGTATATCGGCGACGACACGGACTTTAAGTGACTCAAGACTGCTTGTCCGGGGAATAATCTAGCTCGTAGGGATACCTATCCCTTGCTCTGGTGGAGAAAACCGCAGAGGCTATGCAGGTTTTCTCTATCTACTTTCAGACCGCATCCCCCCTATAGAATAAAAGCGTAAGCGCTTCGTTTGTGAGCCGTTTTTCGGCTCTTTCTCCTCGCCAACTTCGGCGCACATGTAGTTTGGCGGTTGCATAATGATCCCCCGGTGTGCAAGTTGATGTTTTTTTTCTTATCCAATGCCCCCCCGCCCACTGAATGTCAAAAAACCCTCATTCTTGACTTCGGAACTCATGTGGTACTATGTGGTACTAAGGTACGCTTTGCTCCGATTGTGGTGGCTCCGGTGGCGCGACAAACCGCCGCAATCGCTTTCGTTCTTGCTGATGGGTCTTTCTGGCCCGATTCCGAGAGATTCCAGAATGTTCTCATTTCCCCCTCCCCGCCTACTGATTTCCGTCTTTTTGACTTCGACACTCATGTGGTGACCTGTGGTACTTAGGCAGGTACGCTGTGTCCGATTGTTGTTCGAATGGCACCTCTTTGTTCGAAATCGGTCATCGCTGATCCCTCCTACTAATAAAGCGCGACTGTCCGTGCTCAAAAAATTCCTCAGAAGCTCTTGATACTTTGCTCAGAGTATCGGTACTCGACACGGACTCAGAAAAGCGTGCTCAGGATGATCCCTTTGATCGCGATTTTGCTGCGAGACTGTCCCGCGGGGATCTACCTTGCTTCTCGCCTCCGAGTCACTTCGCCAGCCGCCGAGTGACATCACCTCGCCAGTCGGCCAGCCGCTGAGTGATATCACTTCGCCAGTCGACTGATATCACTCCGCCAGTCGAGTGATATCACTTCGCCAATCGCCGAGTGATATCACTTCGTCAGCCGTCAGTCGGACCAGCCAG